CAGCAGCTTTACTGGATCTATGCTGGACGCCACAAACAAAAAATGAAATACCTTTGAACAATGACTTCACAGCAAGGGAGAACCCAAGGCTTCGACGGGAAAGAGGAGATGAACGCTGCCTGCCCGAGATGGTTCTGGCGTTCCCTTTTGATTTGGCTTCCTCAACCACAACTGCTAGATGCGGTTTCCGCGAGCTTCTGCTGCATGCAGAATCTTCCTACTGCTGGTCTCTTGTGCAAGAACGAGTGCAGGCCACGCTGTTGCGACGCCGTACGGAGAACTGGATCCATGCCAAGTCGCTTTCTCCAGAGTGCTCAAGTTCAGAGAACGGGAGAACTGGTACATTATGCCCTTCCAGAAGCTTCTCCTGATAGCGTTCGACCTGGTGCTTGTTTTCAGTGCTCGTCTCAAGCTACAGGAGAAGCAAAGAACGCGCTTTCTTCTCCCCTGTCGGCCCATGTGGGATCACGTTTTAGGCGTAGCTGCTCGCCAAGCAAATCCATTCCTCCAGTACGAAAAGCTTCCCCGATGCCCAATACCCGACTATTCACCTCTTCAATTGATTCCAGCCTTATGAAGGAGCCACGAACCGATATATGGTATAAGCAGCCGGAGCACAGGAAGCCAAGACTCCCTGCTGCCCGCAATGGCAATGCAAGAAATGGCACAGCCGCAGGAACCAGTGCAGGTTCTGGCAGCCTTGAGATTAGTACTTTGTTCCACTGTAGAAATGCCAATATGGTAAATGAGAAGCGCGAAAACGGCCCTCCTGCATTCGTCTTTTCGAAGGTATATAACAGCTCGCACGGCGCTGTTTGGTACAATGACCTGACAGCAGAGATTCCCATAGTTTATGCACTTGTTCATGTATGCACACAGTGTGTTTGTCTACACCCCCCTCTAGTGCTAATTCCTCAACTTAGTATACTATTAGTCAAGATTGCGTTAGGCATGACACTGGGTGATTCCAAATGCAGACCACGCAGGGAATAGCCACAAACAATGTGAGGTGAAGCAGCCCTTATGCGCGTTTGACTAGGCATCTGAACAGGTCGAAAAAACATCTTGGGCGTCTAAGGTTGATAGTTCCCACAAAAATGGAGAACATAAAGCTTGCCTGCCTGCGGTGAAGGACGCGAGGGCCAGGATGCAGCTACTGGATATTGAAGCGGAGCAAGCGTTACCTGGCACTGTTCCAGCGAATCATCTGATACGGTGCGATGGACGAAGTGTACCAGGTATCTTGAAGAATTCGCAGGAGCTCATAGCATGCAATGAATTCGCTGAGGATAATGGCACGGGGTCTGTCGCCGGAGACCTGCTGTCTGCCACAGCCGAACGACCACAAGATCTCTCCCCTCAGTGGATACTGCGAAAAAAGGAACCGCGTAATGTAGAACATCGAGGCTATTTGAAGGCGGGAGGAGGCATTCCTGACTCTGGCGTGCCCAATCGTCTACATGTGTACCTTCAACCTTTCACTCCTTGTCCTGCTAATGATGCTCCCTCCCCGCACGTACAGGAGAGTAAAGTGGACTGTTTGTATTGCAGTAACAAGTCTTTTCACAAAGATACACAACATTGTGCACAAGACCTTCCTGCCACCCAGCAAACAAGCGATCCAAAGAGATTGACTACGCTTAATGTGCATCAGAATTCATTCTCAACAGTAGTAAAAAGGCTCTCTACGCTCAGTAAAGATAATCTTTTGGTGGAAGACTCTAGAGCACTAGGTGCAAGAGAAGTAGTATCGCAAAAATTTAACATAACAGATGAGGAACCAAAGCCGTTAAGTCATGGAAATAATGTTCACAGCACTTTGGAATCTGAACGCGAACATATTTTGCGTTCAAAGATGGCCGATGTTTCTCATGAGGCGGCCTCGGTAGCTCCAGAAAATGCCCCGATTGAGAAGCACGAACACTTGGTAATAGGGAATTCCCTATGAAGCTTTTGTCCATTTAAGAAGATTATCGCAAGAAAGCCTTTGTGACGCCCCATCTGGTGAGCAGAAAACGCCCAAGCGCTGTCCTTTCAGTATAGTTCAGCGCCCTAGGGCATGACTTCCCAGGGGCTACACATATAGCGACACGGTAGTACCGTGCGTTCATAAGAGCTCCAGAGTAGCACTCGTGAGAAATATGGTATACTTGAGTGAGGCGGCTGACTTTACGCCGTTTAACGGAAAGCCCTAGACTGTACTAGTAGCAGATGTTTGCAGCCTCAGGCCACCCCACTGGGTGCCCTTGAACCAGTCATCGGCATGTGCTGTACACTTGGGGTAACGATTTTTGACTTGGCTCTAAGAGCAACGCTACATTGCGTTTCTGTTGAAGGCTCTCAGATAAACTTAATAAGACACCATATTTCCTAAGGCTGTAAGTAGAGTGCCAAGCACAACAGGACCCTCTTGGTCGCTTCAACGGCGAGAAGGAGGGGCTAGCTGTCCAATGCAAACCTAAGCAGAAATTCGCAAATCCTTCTCGTGATACTAGCAGACGAGAGGAGTTTGTTAACTTTGCCTCAGTTTTCCGGGGACTCGGGAAGGAAGCAGGCGTAGCTGCACACATCGGTAAGCTTGTAGGTGGCATGAGTGCTATGACAGACTGCATTGAGAAGTGTCTAAAAATTATCCAAGTAGATGGCAAACTTGAAACGTTTCGGGAGGCTCGCTGATGGCCTAGTAGGCCTTTGGTGACTTTTAGTCCAGCAAGAAGAGCCAGGATTGCACGCGTCCTGGTTTCTGCACTGGCAGTAGAATACTACGAAGTGACCCAGAACCAGGCGCGAAGGGACAGGACAGCAATACTTTGCAAAACTCCGGCGTTACACAGGATCCGCAGACGCCGCGGCAATCTGTTACTAAAGTTTTTTAGTTCCAGACTTAAACAGCAAAAACGCACAGATGTTATGGCTAATTTCAGCCTGTGGTTTGAGAATCCGAGTATTATATATGCTGTACGTTACAAGTCACTGGGAGCAAAATAAACCGACATCTAGGACATTGCATCTTAAGTGCGGCACTCCTAGGGTATGTGACCAGTGACAAGCAGGTATGGACAAAACTAATAGCATCAGGCAGCTCTGGAGCTGCAAGCACAGAGACCAATGAAAAGCCATACAGCGATGAGTTCCATTTATGTTACAGAAAGTTCCGTCCCATACAAATAGTATCTGTTAAAAATTGGAAGACAACTAGCCAAATGTCTCACAGACAGGGTATCCTTTGACTAAGGCATGTGGCTCTGTGTGAGAAAATCCAAGGCTCCTACCATACCCTTAAAGGGAGGTGGCCTACCTCACACACAAGGGCAGGCGAAGCTGCGTCAATCTAGCCAGCCGTAACCTTTACTGTATGCCATTCTAGTAGAGGGGCAACTGACAGTATTTCTAAATGAAAAATGCAGCCCTTGGATATCATTATAGGAGGGCCACACCAGGGAGAACAATGGACTCGACCGGTAATTTTACTGCTTTTCCCCATGGTATACTGTCACCGAAGTAGAGCTGAGATAGTCGCTAGGATAAGTCCCAATCCCAGCGGCTTAGATGAAGAAAACTTGTGCTGCTGGAAGAGTCTTGAGTTGGCACTGAGTGTACTTTGAATAGGATTCAGTGGGCAAGTCCAAATCTTTTCCCATCAGAGACTTCTCGCAATTCTGCCATAATACCTTGACTCGGGTTTTTACGGGTGCCTTATCATTTTCTCGGGACATTTTCCCTGGACTATTTATCAGTGCTGCTGCGCCCGCTATTATGAAAAAAAAGTTCCCACTTCGCGTGGCTGCCATGCTCAGCGAAGATGCAATAGAAGAGAGCAGAGCGGCCGCCTGCAAGAACTTTACTTGTTGGCAACTCATCGTGTCGTACTCTGTTTCACTAGGCTCTCACCTGTAAGACGCGTCTCGGGAACAGTTCGTCAATAGCGCGGCATTCCGGTATAAACGAAAACACCCAAAAACTCCAATATGAGAGAGTTGATGGGTCCACGCAGTACATGCTACTTTTGTGAGACCACATTGCCGTTTAGCTATGAAGGAATGATAGCTGCCCACAGCGCACAAGCAAGCATGATGTGCCCCTGCAGGGCAGTGGAGCCCACCTGGTCAGGCAGCGGCAACCGGCATTGCTTAGTCGAGCAGCAGTGGAAGGGTCGGCGATTGTTAAGGACCTCTGGTCTCCCTTTCACTCGCGTTACTTCAAAATAGGAGGCATGCAACACACGGACGCGACTGGAACCTCTGGACTCTTCTGCTCAACGTTCACTTGTCTTCACGATGCCAGTGGCCTTTACAAGCATAAATAAAACGCATAATCTTGTAGGGCCCCTTTACGATGCACAAATAATGCACCGAACTCTGGGATGCTCGGGTCGATGGGCATTCCTCGGAAAACAACTTTAGTGAGCAGCAATGCTACACCATGCAAGGAATCTCGAGAATATCGAGGCTGATCAGGTAGAGAAGAGAGTAGCGTTTTGGCTCTCAAATAATTAGAAATCGACGAAATGTAACATAAAGGGCGCGAAGCGCAGGGCCTTTCCGAGTTTCTTCGCCTTTTCCTCCCACTGGCGACGCGGGAGGCAGCTCGGGAATGCTGTACCATGCAGGCGAATCGCAAACGCATGTACAACACCATGGGACTTCGAAGTGACCGTTCGCCTGGTGGTCCAAAGTTAGCGTTTCCTGACCAATGCTCGCTAAGGGCCACCGCTCCCTGTGTTCATCGAAGAGGAAATGTGCCAAATGCCTACTGTCAGCTAGTTAAGGCTCATACCGCAGCAGTAAACGGCATGCAAAGGGTGCCCATAGTGCGTGTTGGAGTAGTGAAATATGCGTCTATTACTTACGGCAATTATGCTCGTCACTACCGCGAAGTAAGCGATCTTTATAACGCAGCTGTGAGCCTGGATCATGAGTGTTAAGGAACAGTTTCGAAGAAGCGGATTCCATGAACCATTCAGCTATCTGAGCTAACTACATCACCGTTTTACGATCCGCCTACAGCAGTGGAATAAGCCCTGCAGGTATAGCAGACACTTCGAGCAGCAGCCAATATTCTGGACCAGTTGCCTGCCCAGAGAAGGCGTAATCACAGACGGCTACTCCAGGCGGAGCGTAAGAACTCGGCAACAACGTCGACAAAGCACTGGATAATGCAGTACAGAACATAGTTCGGCTGTAAAAGGCAGCGGCTGCAGCTACCACCGCTGCTGCCGATGCATGTGTGTAGACGGTAGAGAAGCTGCCATGTAGTCCTTGATCAATAGGGATCCCTGAAGGGGGCTTAGGACGGTCATGTGTGGGTTTCTGCCAGATCGACTTCCACCAGGCGGCTATGCCAGCTTAATATGCATATAAAGAGCCAAGGGAATGTAGCAAATATTGTCAAGACGGACTAGAATAGAAGTCGCGCAGGTAGCGGCACTATCAGTCCGAGAGGTTCACCTCAAAAGTATGCCTGGTCGCGATCATTCGAAAAAACTGCATGCGACGAGAACAAGGGTAAGCTTAACCAACATTTGCGCCTCAATTATGATCTGGCCACTCATCCGGCACCACATAACCCAATACGCTTAGCGTTGAAAAGGATAAATACACTCTTCATGTGCTTCTCTGCTCCAGCTTCCTGTCCAAGCCTGCTATAAATATACGAGAAGCACAGTTGAATTCGGCTGGTAGTACTACCACAAGCCTTATGTAAGTCATTATTTTTCAAGCCTGCCGCCGAACTGAAAATATTTAACTCGACAGGAGATGCAAGAAATGGCACCAGCATACGGCGTGTGGGTTTGTCTCTTGATTTGAGGCCTACAAGATCGTCCTGTGTGCATCACTGCCGCAAATCTCAAAAAAGAACATGAAAATGCCCAGACTCTGCCGTATTGGACAGTGACTCTCAAAGGTCACAAAAAAACACTGACTGGCGGTCCAAGCGATGTGTCAAGCTGCCTAAAGGCATGAAGAGCTCCTGTAACTAGCAGGGCATAAAAGATTTGCCGAGGTTTGAGTACTTATAAAAAGCGGCCTTTTGCAAGTCTTCGAAGCAATAACACACTGAACAATGCGTGATCACCAATGCAATACACAGCTCTCTACCTGTATCCTGTGGTGAAGACGTTACTGAGCAGCTATTTGTTGAGGCCATTTGAACAACAGGAGGACGATACCGTAGTAATTCGTTTTTCCTGACGTACGAGAGGGACCCCAGCACTTTTATTTTAGCCAGCTGTTTCACGACAATGCGTACCAGCAGGGAAACCTCATGTTATGTTCGCAGGCAAGAGCAGATGGACCATCATATTTCAGCCGGCCTAAAGGGGCCCCCGGTCACGTCACCCCCACAAAACGGCTTTGGCTCCTGCACTTTAGAAAGCACATAGACTTCAGCAAACCACGTTTACTTTCAGCTCAATAGCCTCTCGTTAAACGTTTGAAAGACTCATCTAGCAATTTGAGGAAGACACCGTGCATGACTGGATAACACTCTCGAGCTCATCAGATGGGACCCAGAAGCGTGGCGAAAGGATATGTGAGCGCTCGGGTGTTTACAAGAGCGAATTTTGGCACCAAGCAGAACTTAACCACGGCAGAACTGTCTCGAGGACAAGAGACCTACCGAGATCGGAAACATATTCTGGCCAAAGCAACCGAACAGCATGCACTGGAGAGAATACACAGATTTGCAGAATAGGAACGCACTAGGGCATTCACGAATTTGCTTTCATATTCTCATCTTAGGCAAGTGCTACCTCTACATCGGAAGTGCAGGGGTTTCCTGGACCTCACGACATTATTTTGTTAAAAGGACAAGACTCTGGCTTGGGTTTTGCAACCGTGAGCTCTGTGAAATATGACGAAAACTAAAGGGATAAAGCTGGTAAATACGGTTAAGAAAATGGTAATGACCTTGTGCACAAACGCAATTCCGCATTCCCCGTATATAGAGGTATATCGCAATGGAGCTGTCAACGTCGCTCGACACTGCTGCCTTTTTGTTTGAGAGAGCGGTTACTGTGGGCTTGCCGAAGTAAGGTTTGAGCGGAACCGTTTGCTTAAACACTTGGGCACACCCGTTCTTGTGGGAACCTGACAAAGTTGCTTACAGTACTCAGCTCTTTCATGCCTCTCGTGTGACTTCACGCTTGTCATAAATCAATGGCCGGAAATGCGCTTGCGTGCAAAGGGTCACAATGGCAATACTACAGAGGTATGCACTTTTTGGGCTGGCAGATGCCATTTATTCCCTAGGAGGTACATTTAAACCACTAGCATTCTGTTCGTAGAAAGGCATATTGGCGTAGACTGGTGATAGGCACAGCCGATGCGCGGTAAATCACCTCTTGCCAGTTGCTAAATCGTGAAAACTTCAAATGATGTCATCATAATACAGCAGAAATGAAGGGCATAACGAACAAGCTGAGGCTAGTGTTTACCGTAGAGGAAGCAATGACATTTTTTGGTGAACTAGAAAGTTAGCATTGTCACTCTAAAAATGCCAAGCAAGTACAGCAATTTGCTTTCCCCGAGCACGAACACGACAGTCGTCCAGTTTTCATGCAGTGGTGGGCGAGTTTGTTGTGAGGGGAATATTCGACGAACTCGGGTATCCCAATTGTTTCTTTCGCCAAAGGAGGTAGTGAGTCCATTAGGCTTGCGTCGACCCGTTACGCCACATATTGAGCTTCACCAGCTACTCACAGAGAGCTGTAGGCGGGAAGTACTTACACTCCAAGAAGTGTGCTATCTATTCTAGCTAGGAAGTACGGGGATTACGCCAGTATAGGCCTCACAAATTGTAAAGAGGCATATTGACGTACTGCACAGTGTACTACCAAGCTTCCTCTAACGATGTACTACTTACTCTCGAGCATACGAGCAATCCATTTATGCTCTGATCACTGGAAACTTGCAAGTGGCGACGTACTTTTGTAGTACTACCCAATGCTGCAAGGGGAGATGGACTCCACCACGTGTCCGCGCATCATGAGAGCAACGCAATGCACACACGTTTTCTCTTTAGCCCTCTATGGACCGGAAAGAAAAAATAGCTGCAAGCACTGCTAGCTGTCAAGTCAATATGCCACACAAGACACACCAGTGTGATTGAAGCAGTCGATCTGCTGCTCTCTCCTGCTCAGTTACCCTGTACAAGGCTACTAAGCTTGAGGACGTGTATGGCCCTTCTTCAGCCTTTTCCTTATTCCGTTACCGTGCTAAACTTCATGTCAAAGACGAAGGGGCCACAAGCAGAGCTTTACGCCGTGCCTTTTATACAGGTGACCACGTGGCTGCCTGGTGAGACGCTACGAAATATTGGCGCAGGACGTGATTATCCAATGTCTCAATGCGTGTAGAGACAAGTAAAGTATCACTGCTTGCAGCAAACGCATATAAAATGCAGCTTTGGGAATGGTAAGCCCATGCGATACGGGTATAAAACAGTGCTGAATGGGTGACCTCCTATAGACTTGTTGGAGGCGTGTCTGGAGGACCCCGTTCTACACTTGGGCAGAGTTTGTCTGCTCCTCTTGAGCGTCTGCGACTGGGCTGATGGCACTGCTGTTGCCACCAGGGTGGAAGAGCCTCAAATGTAAGGTCAGGAGCCTTGAGTCGGCGTGCAATGTATTTGGGTGTTATTATATTATTGTATATATCCCGTTGCTGCTGAGTGAGTGTGTCTACCCACAGTCGCCTGAGCGCCCGCACATGCTGGGAAAGGGTTGGTGGAGATACTTGGTCCCGACAAAGTGAGGGAACAGACCACATCTCCAAGCAAAAGAGGTCGTACCCTGCGCTCGAGAAAAAACAGAGGCGATAAAACGCTAAAACGATCCAGTTCTGCTTGGAAAAAGGCGTTTGATCAACAGAAGTTTCTGCTTGGAAGAAAGCACAATTGCGACAGAACCAAATGGAATTAATTAAGCATATGCTACTAGAAATTTGTTTCTTAATGGAAGCTCACTGACTCACCTGTCATTTGAGGCCCTACGTGTGGCAGCAAAGCAGCCGTTATTTCCTCCTCTGCTCGAGGCAAGGCTTTGGGCGTATGAGTGAGTCTGGCCCTTGCAGAGCAAAGCCTTATCTCCCCCTCCTTTGGAGAATGCGGACTTGGCAGTAGTGGGAAATTGCGTGCGGTAGTCGATCCAAGAGGGAGCAGAAGAATGCTTCCGTCATTTCGACTTCCGATAGTCGGACCCGCTTGTGCATGTGCCCGCCTACTAGAAGATCCGTTGCCTGCCCTACGAAGAGCATCTGATGAAGAAGGTAAGTCTCGACCGAAGGCCTCAAGAGACTGCATCACGTTTACGGAGGTATGGTGGCGCCGACTCTCCTGTTGATGCTGTTGACGTTGTTGCTGATGCTCAAAGGGAACTGCAGGGTCGCCGACGTAGGTGTAGGATAACCTTTCCCTCCAAAGTTCTGCAGGGCAATTACGAGAAAAAACTTCAAAAGTCATGCAAATGCTGTTATATTGGGAATGCGTTATGCGTGCAATATAATAGTAGAATAGGACGATACACTGTCAGAATGGCGATTCCCATAAAAGCATCTATCCATCCTAAGGAAACTCCCTCCGTGCTCACCCCTTTTCTCCTGGGTGCTCTCTGTGGCGGCATTGAAGACACCTAGACATACAATTGTGATAGCACAAGCAAATCCTACAAAAGTTCGAGTTTCGCGGATTATGAGTGCAGTGCCTCTCAGGACATTACCACGTAAAACTGGAGCAAATGAGCAAAGCACTACAGTCATACCATGTGTTAAATCAAGCAGGAAGTTGTGTTGCTGGATGGGAATCGTTTTTCATGCCTACCATCGACATGTAGCACGTGAAGCCCTTTTTCATGTTCCTTGTAGAAAATGAACAAAGGATGGTGGCACAGGCAAATCCTAAACGTGGCAAGGCATTCAAAATCAAGGTCAACAAATGCATACTTGAAGAAAACTCCGTGAGACCAGCTGGAGCGAGATGGAGAAGGATGCTGTAGTAGGCGCAACAAAGAGAATGCATCATCCTCCTCGTGATGGTGGTCAAGCTCTCGCTGTAACGGCTGCTGTGAACGGAGAGCGGCTTTAGCAGGTGCTTCAGTAAGAATGAGTCCCTGGGAGGGATCAATGCACGGGGAAGGAAATGATAAGCAGGAAGGGTGCGATGGATGCAAGCCGAGAGCCAGACTGGTGCCATGGCTGGAGGTGCAGGTGGTGCTGTCAGCACCCACTAACATCCGCCCAAGGCTTTCGCCCGCAGCGTCCAGCAAGAACGAGGAGATCCCCTTCAATACCTGCAGTTGTGCGTGCTTCCGGTCACTTCGCATCTTAGCAGCAACAGTAGGGAGAGATTCGGTAGAGGCTGCCCCCAAATTTTGGCCTCCTGCTGTGGGGGTCTGTGCATCGAGGTATGGAGAAATGAGGTCGCCTAGCAGAGGGAGATGTTCCCGGGCAAGCGCAGCAACATGTCTCCGAAGATTTTCAAGCCTAGCTTTTCCTGAACCTTTTGCTGCTTCCAGAGCTGTTTCCACCAGCCTCCGCCTCTTTGGACGGGGCCGCCCAGTGTGCGCTTCCATAAGTGGACTTGCTGAATCCGGGTGGTCACACTGACTTTCCCCACTGAGCGATGGCCTTCTCCTGCGTGGGCTGGGCCTGTCTCTTTGTTTTTGCATAGCTAATTTTGGTAGGAGTTCCTGCTTGAGAGCCTCTGAAGAAGGGTTTTTGAGAAAAGAAGCGCTAGGGACAGTCTCTGGAAGCGACATAAGGCATTGAGTTTCTATGTGGGATTCATTTCGAGCCTTCTCAGAACCTTGTAGGTCAGATTGCGCAGATAAGTTGCAGACCACGGTGGAGTTGCCTCGAGATCCAGCTAGGCCTCGCAGTGACGAAGGGATGGCACGCCACAACCAAGACCCTGCCTGCAATGGCAGCAGCAGCGCACGTCATTGCACGCTCGTGCGCAGCCTCTTGAAAAAGTCTGTAGGTTAGAACTTGTTCATTCGCTTTAGGTATCGCGACTTGAGTACCACTGACAGCAGTTTTTAGCACACTTCTGGTTGCGTTCGCAAGGTTGGCTTGGAGTAGTGACTTTAGCGTCAAAAGTACTCTACCACGTTTCAACCCTCACCTGTTGCGCTCTATGACGGCAGGAGCTTCCGCGCATGTTTTCCATCCCGATGGAGCCGACATCTTCTGTGGGCATTGGCGCGTCACTGAATTCCAGTGTAGATACGCTATTGCAGTGATTCACATGCTGCATACGCAGTTCCTGAAATGCAGCCCTATTTGCTTGAGTGGGTACTCCCGGAGTAGCAGGGCCCCCTGTAGGCTGGCCCTGGAGCTGCTGGGAGAAAAAGATGAAAGTACACATATATGAATATCTTAGAACGAGGCGCTGATTTGCTTTCGTTGCCCTCGGATGTCTCTGTTACTGCTTGCTAAAATCGCATCTATGTCGGATCCCTACGATGAACTGTAGCCGCTCAAACTGTGAGTAAATCCCCTCAGCTGCCGAGCACTGAAACTAGTGGGGAAGGAAAACTGCAGTGTGACAAGGCTCTTTCGGCTGCTATCCCACCTGCTGTGTTTCTTCAGAAAATTCGCGGGGTTTTGCGTTACTTTCATGCTTCGCTGTAAAGGGATACGTAGCGGAGACGGGAGCTGAGGATATTCCTTTCAGCCCCCACACAATCCTACAGCTCGCTACATTACGGAGTCCATGACAAGCCAATCAAGACACTACCAAACGATGACCGCTATGAGGGACGCTTAGGATGCGAGATGACAGCTCACCGGATCTTGAAATATCTAGCTCGTCTAGACAAAGTGGATCTTGCTGGCTGGATATCTGACTCAGTATGCCCTTAATGTTTTTGTTGTTGCTGATCATTATCAGTTGCTGCTGTAACAGCTGCTGCCGAGCATAGTCTATTTGCGAAACACTGCACGCTCCGCAGTTGAGAAGAGCGTATAGCTGTAGATGTATCTGACCCAGCCCGTAATTGTTGAGCCCGGCGCTGCGTCTCAAAGTTGCTTCGTCTAACGGAGCTGCATATGGCTCAGCCGACATGCGGCTTCTGCTGTTGTCGGATGCACTACTTGCATGATGTATGTGTATATATGCTTCTGGATGGATTTGAGCTGGGCCATTGAAGTTGAGCTTTTGTAAGGACCGCAGCTTTCTTCTGCTGAACAGATAAAGCAACTGTTGCAGTTCGGGTGTGATGGTCCACCCGAGGGAGAGGCGGCGTAGGCTGAAGAAACACGGACGAACTCCGGAACGACCGCACTGTTCGTGGAAGAAAGACAAACCGTCTTCTGCCTTTTTTATCACCAGTGGTGTAGTTTTCTTCGCGATCTTAATTAGCTCAGTGTGCTGCACTTCCGGAGTTCTAATCTTACCCTCCTAAATACGCGAAGACACCGCCTTAAGCTCTATACTAGTCAAGTCATTACGAATTTAACATTTCGTTATCTTACCATTTAAAGTTAAGCTGTTCGTACAAAACCGAAAAGTGTCGCACTTCCCCATCTATGTCCAGCAGTTGTAAACTTTCGGCTCCGACTCCAAGGATATGCTGCAGGGCTCTGACTAACACCTCCTGTGTTGCCCTATCATCTTGTTGCTGCTGCGTGCCAACGTTGCTGGAAGGCCTGACTCTACGAGGAGCCTGACTGCCCCTAAGAGAGCTAGTATATCTTCGTGGCGGCTGGAGCTCGTGCCTTTGCTCTTGCTGCTGTTGGTGCCCTGTAGCTATCAAGCTTAATTGTGCAAGAGAATTCTCAGATCGAGGTTCCTCGTGGGTATCATGTAGTTCGCTCGGTGGCATTCTGTACACGAAGGGGCTTCTGCTCGCACTGGAGAGCTCAGTGAGAAGGGAGGCTCCCCTTCTCAAGAAGGCAATGGCCTGACCAGAGAACGGCGAGGGGCCGGCACCTATTGACGTAATCAGACACTATACAAGACATGGGAACTCTTGGGTCTGTAGGAGTCCCCTGAATAATATCGCAGGTTTAATTACGCACTAATGTGCTTAAAAAATGCAGGCAGAAAATGTAACGAAGGTAGTAGTGGACCATTAACAGAATTAGATCTAAAGGTTGTGCAGCTCCCTTAAGAAGTGTAGTCATGGGTGTGCCTACTTCCGCCGAGTGGTCTGGTGCGACTAGCTGAGGGAGCACCCTTGCGTCGAATAAAGCACAAACCCCCATCCGGGTGCACGGAGGCCATGCAGCTTTCGCTCAGGAGGAGGAGTGCCACCACCATAGAGCCGGCAGCAGCATTAACTTCGGTAGTACGTGCAGAAGCGGTAGCCTGAACTCCTTCAACAGGCTCAGCAGATGCTGCGGGGGCTGCTTCCCCCATTTGCGCCTTTAGCGTCTCAAAACCAGGATCATCGATCTCACACACTCTAACGTTGCCAGTGATTGGCATATCAGTAAAGCAGGAGTTAGTCATCGCAAAATTCTCAGCACTGCCACTTCCAGCCTGGCCAGTTCTAGGGCAACATGGATAAGGTGCAACCCCAGGGGTCCTGGGTTCTCGCCACACCGTGTCTGTTTTCATGAGCATCAGTCTGTGTGCAGAATGAATTGATAGAGATGAGAAACCGAGAGAGATTGAGAGAGTGGAGGGAACCTGCATTCACGTAACAAAAAGGTAATCTAGAAGTATGCCGATAAGACAGTAGAGGGGCAAATAATGTCATATTTTCATGTGCTCACTGCTGCTACCCTGACGGTATTGGTCAGTTGTAGGCACAAGCAGTTGCATATATTAGCCAATTGCTGGTGGTGTTTGCTGCAAATTCAAAAAGCCCTACAGCAGATATGCCCAATCGCTTACTTGAAAGGGAAAGTCTATATGAAGAGACTTGAGAACAGGGAGAGAAGGTGGTAGCAATAACGGAGGGATGTGACGCCACGCTGGCTGAACATTCAAACGCATTGATACAGGTCCCACCGGCAATGTTTTTCAGGCTCTGTCAGGTGTGCAAATATCGCTTCCATTCATTTAAATAATCTGCATTGCATGGCATATGCTGTTCAGAAGCTTGCAATAGCCGGGGTCACCGTAAAATGTGTCGTAGCGTCTTGGGACCTCCACACGATGTGTACTCAGTGTGGCCTTACTGAAGAGGCAGAAAGATCGACCGATATTTTGATAGAGGCAAGGGAATAAGCATTCATGTGCAGCAGCTGCTGTAATAGGAGCAGCAACTCTGTCGCAGCGTGATGCTCCCCAGGGGCTCCTGTAGACGACAGTTTTAGTTTAGCGGTTACAGACTTTAGGTGCCTGAGTGAGCTGAAGAGGGGCGATGCATTGGCTGCAGTGTAGGTGGTCCAAGGACAGAATGCTGAGTGTGTTGCACTAGAAACCCCTTTTGTCTCTGCTGACACTCCAGTTAATTCGCCACAAGCGGTGGATTGCAAGCGCAGCAAATCAAGGACCCTCTGGTGATGTCGTCCGTACACCCAAGAGAGGTGAGAAACGCAAGCGTCCCCAGAAGATCTCTCAGGTTGTGTTAATAAAGCGTCTCCTCTTTCTCCTTCTGGATGCACAGAAGGATGTTGTCGAGTGCTGTTCATACTTCCCTGCTGGGTTTGCTGTTGCCTCCGCTCTATGCCTGGCAATCTAGGATTGTTTGTTTGCTCACCTAAGCTGTTACGCTCCTGCCTATCCCTCTCATCTCCAACCTCTAGGGGTCTAGGACTCTCCCCTCCTGTGGCGGCTGTTGTTATGGCAACAGTGGCATTACCCAGGATAAGCGGCGGGTATACAGCGGAGGTAAGCTCCACCTCCAGGGATCTAAGGCCTGACAGAAGGGGTAGTAGCCGTTTCATCGCAGCTTCAGGCAACGACAAGATGGACGAAACGTTCCGTGCAGAAAGGGATAAAATGCAGCAATAGGAAAGAAGAACCCGACGAGCTGCCTTACAGGTCGACCCGAATGCTGCTGCGGATGCAGCAGGTAGTAATTGAAGCACTTTGGCCATAAGCAAAGGAGCGTACTCAAGGATATGATTCGCATGGCGGGGTTCGGAGGTGTCGCCAAAGGATGCAAGGACCCCATCCAAAGAGTCCGCTGCCGCATGCTTACTGCAGTCGTGTGGATTCAGTGGCTCCAGAGGCTCCGCTTGGGTTCCCAGCTCTATTATGTCGCAGCAATCTCTTCGTTTCCTGCCTCTACAGCTTTTTGTCGGAGAACGGCGTGACTCACTTTGTGCTGGAACCTGTGCCGGATGCTCTGAAGTATCCTGCGGACGGTTTTGGGTGGCTAGCAACTCCGCAACATGACCACAAGAAATGCAGGGATAACCCTGACCTGTATCGCTGGTTGTACTAAGAGACCCTTGGATTTGCTGCCCCGCAGAAGAGCGTTCGTCTGCCAGCTGTTCATCTAGCTGCCTGCGTAAAAAGGGTACTGGGGCAACCACGGAGCAAGAAGGGGGGCAAATAATATTATCAGGCGCAGCCGGATTGGGGACCGCATTAGCGGCACTCCCCTCATAAGAAACCTTGTTTTCTCCTTGAGACTCGGGTAACTGCCGACCCCCTCGATGCATATGCAGCTGCCGTTGCTGCTGAGAGCACATCGCTTGTGTATACCCTGATTGGTGTCTACGGGCAGTAGAATCCAAAGAAACGTGAAAAGATGTCTCGCGCTGTTGCTGCGTCACTTGCGGGGCTGGCGTGGGTTTGCTTGTACAGTCCCTCAGCTGCTTCATTTCCAGTGACGTCGAATGGATTATTTCGGATGCCTCTGTACACCGGGCCCTCCACTCAGCCTTCTGATCTACATCGTTTCTCCTGTTTGGCGGCGTGCTCATAGAAGGTGCAAACAAGGCCAGTGTCTCAGCACGGAACTGATACGGGGAATTGCTAACCTGGGACGATTCTTCTCCTAGTGCTGTTTCTCTGCTGGAACTTCTATTCTGAATCCTCCGCGGGGTCTCACCGTGATGTGACAGCTCTTGGTGCTGGTTGTCGGGGGCCTTCTCTGGTTGCTGATGGCGTTCCTCGTCGTGCTGCTGATCCCGCATTGTGCTTCCTTGATAAGCTGTTTTTCCAGTTCCTCACACAACTGTCATGTGTGCTTTAGACACCATAACTGTATGCTTGTGACTTCCAGCAATTGCTATTGCAGAGACTATACCACAGGAGTGAATGCAACGCGAATTTCAATCGTCAGCACTTCGTCGTCGGAGTCCACCTCCCTAGTCCCGCCATTATTTTTAAGCTCATAGAGCTTTCATTGCATCTGATTGTTTTTGTATGGCTGGTTCACGTGTTCCCCCTTTGCCACCGCCGTGTCTCACCAGTGTCCTCTCTCGCCTCGCACGTGGAAAATCTAGTTTATAGTCGAGCGTAATCCAGCTGCAACAGCTGAGTGAAATCAGAGCTTCAGCCGTTTACGTCTCAGCACAGCCTTCTAGGGTTTGAGAAGAGGGTAGCCTACAGAGGGGCTCCCGGACAACTGTGTCTCTAAATCACTCCTATTCACGACCTGGATAAAAAAAGTGATGTGCAAGAAAGGGGATATGTACTTTTCAGCCTTATCCCAGTTTATCTCCTAAAGAAAGGAATAAGTATGGCTGCAGCTTGGCTGTAGAGGGTTGAGATCAGTGAACCCTACGCACTGAATGCGTGTCAGCTTAGCTACAGACGCATGTATATGTGGCTGCATATTCTCTATTTATCTATCAGCATAGCCTCGGTAACCAATTCTGCGCATTCCCTTAGTGGGGACCCGATGGCTCGTTTAGGGGTCATCCCTGCTTGCCTCTCCGGCTGCTGCAGGATGAAGGATCGCAATTGAGGCCATGAAGGAGAGGATGACCCCAAGAGCTCTCAAAAGAAGAATTTATTCTAAGAGGGAAGGTGCTAGGAAGCTCCAGACGTGCAAATTCTCCAGGACGGTAGAGGTGACCCTGGCACCCGGTTGAGTTGCGCCGGGCATCGGGCCCCGGTGTAGCAATCTAATCGATTTACTAATTAACAGAGCGAAACGTGTACCAAGAAGAATATGGCGACTCGTTTGGCATCTAGATTTAGAGTTTAAAGATATTCGCTAAAGTGAATGCAATTTCTAAAGCCGCACCCTATATTGAGTCTATAAACAAATTCCTTTAGGCACTGGAATTCGTGTTTATGGCTATTCGATTTAGTGCGTGTGTCTTAGAACGAAAACTCCTGGTCTTCTGCTCGGCGGAAATGCAATACGGACTCGCCTCCGGTGCACGCGCAAGCCCTTTAGGGACGAAAAATCTTTTTAAATAAACCCTGAGGTCTTCTTGCTGTTACAGGTGCGCAGCAGTCTATATCACGAGCTTCCCTGTACTAATAAGCTATGGACAAACGCGATACTACTTAATGTTGATGCAACGGCCAAAGACTTCACCACATGAGAACCGGTGGCTATGGGACCGTTATGGAAAGATACAGGCTTGTTGAACAGCGCGATAAGCAGTCAACGCTGCGATCTATTTTTGCTGGGTAAGGGTGTTCGTTAGTTGCTTTTGGTTTGGCCATGCAACATATCGTCTCACCTATTCTGAGAGCGCAAATCTCGATTGAAGCGGCTAAAGCTCACTAGAGTGGTGCGCTTTTCTATGGAATAAAGGATTTGTTCGGTAAACCCATACGTATGCCCTCAACTATTTTGCGGAAGTACAAGTGCATATCTATTCGACGTACGAGGGAGGTGGCAAAATTTCTTAGCTACTCCTTCAGCTCTCTTGTGTTGATCTTTAACGTGTGACGATATGACAAGATGTGGTGATGGGCAGCAGAGAAAGGCTTACCGAAAATTTTGAATGGTCAGCTAAACATCAAACAGTGGCGTACAGGAAGAATGGGGAAAAGGCTTTTGGGACACTGCTCTCGTGCTTTTCCCAAGAGCTTTTGGCGCCAAACCATATCTACGCCCAAACAGAGGCTTTTTTGAGTGCCTACTCAAATAAGATTTCTTTTCTGTGTCCTCATCCTGCAAAGTTTTATTATGCGGCCACACGGGACTTTTGGGGTGCACGTTGCTGTGCCCCCGAGCATTCTTGTCTAAGCACTGCTGCATATGTGAATTAAGCGCTTCAGCAGATACCATCAATTCTGATAAAATAGAAATGACCCCACTTCGAAACTTATTCAACATACGAGCAAACCTTTGCATGGTCAATTGACTAGCCCAGAGCACGTGGCGCGAGCCAGCTGGTAGGTGTGTTTAGACTCGGGACAATTCCACGTACTCATATTTATTGCACATGCAACATGAAGCAAATTTTACGGCCGTCTAAAGCACAAGAACGTGTACAGGCTTCATCGAAGGTCTCTGTAGGGGCAATTAGCTCCAAACTCGAAGCAAGCTTGATTAATGATTGTTGAGTGTTTTTCAGAGGGCGCCCTCCTCCGCATGCCTGCGGCCCCCCGAGTCGCCAACTAGAGAGAAAAGGGCGGGCCAGCTAGAGTGGGCGTAGCTGCACCCTTTAAGAATTTCAAGCGTTCTTAGCTAGCTGATCAGCGTCTATCGCGCATGCGCGCAACATGTAAGTCCAACCACGTCGAGCCAAAATTACTCTGCAATGAATGATATATGAAAGTAGAATGAACAAATGTTCAGTTGTTTGCTAATTCTTAGTAATATACCTATTGTAGCAGAAATTGACCATCTGTATCTTAGCGAGCTACAGCAAGCGTATAATACGATCAGTAGGAAACGAAGCGTTAATATTTTCCCTACAAACTATGGAAGATGCGCTGTAAAAGCATCATGCGTATTATTCCCTAAGTAGCTGTCTGATATAAGAATTCAATGACCATTTCAATAGAAGCTGGTTAGAGAAATGCCACTTCAAGAATCAGGCATGGAATTAAGATACTCTCATGAATTTTCGAGCCTAACAAGTGCTTCCTCCCCAGAATGTTATGATATTGGATCCATTATTGCCAATAACAGCGTTGTGTTGGCCCGTTGAGCTCGCAAAAAACTGGGTGTGATTTTGAAAATATTTTGTGCTATGCTAACTTCAAAAAACTTCGTGCCACAAAACCCTGCTCAGCGTGTACAGAGGACTAGGGTCATGTGCGCCGCGCAAAGACAGGGTAGTGCAGCTCGCGCACTCTGTCTAAATGTCATTTCTAAGCTAGTTTAGCAGACAAGAAGGCAGCAAAGCCAAAGTATGGGTATGCCATGCCGAGCTATGGCTGTTGCATTGTCCTGATTGTGACACCAGCGGCTCAAGTGCCTTGCAGTTTTTGGATTCCCAACTTCGCGATTTGGCAAATATGTTCATGCATTTGCCTATCCATATACAAATTTGCATCACCAGCAAAATTAATTAATCTATCATGATCATGCATTTACCGGGAGGCTGCCCAAGCTTACCTCGAGCATGGCCACATGCAAGCAAGCTGAGCTCGAGCAATCTCAGACTCTTTACCAAGATGCTGCAGTTCTCTCATTTTGATACCGACTCATTTTAGTAATGGCCTATCCGGATTCAGTTCCTTGAGCCATTGGGAATTTAGTTGAGTGCCGGCGCAACAACCTCGGCAGGGTCATCTGCGTACGCGTCGTTCCCTCAGGATGACAAATCCTTGGAGAATGGCAACCCAGCAGCAGCACTTTACACGGTTCTACTTTAATGTAATTTCGCGTGAAAGTCTTATATAAGGATACAACCAGGAAGATGTTACAAGGCTGCATGGAGCTTTCCCCAAGGTGCGAAAGTTTGGGCTCGGATAGATTGCCGAAAGACCCCCACAAGGGGGATGAAATACCCGGGGGGCATCTGGGAGTAAATTGAATGTTGGAGGAACAAATACACAGATACTTTGGTAAGGTATTCAGGAATAGATTGGGAGTGCTGTCAGATAGCAGGAGTGCTGTGTCTCGAGGTTGGATTTGCTGGCGTCGGAGCAGGTACATAGATGTTTCAGATGCAATCATGTGTACTACGTGAGGCGATAAGGATATTACGAGATTTTATGTGATTCGGAGACAGTTTTGTGTGCTTTAGCCATATGCCACTATCTATTCCCACAAACTCGAGTATCGAGTGTCCGTGATAAAGGGTAGGAGGAGGCAATAGTACTGGGGAGTCAATAGCAGTTATAGCAGCTAAAGACAATGCACCTTCTCTGCATGGACGCTGAGGAAAATACTGAGGACGCGTCTGGCCACACCGATCCTTCCCACAGTAAGAACACCCACTCTGTTCCTACATCGCATGCAATGCATGCATATTGTACAGTTACTACCTTTCCACTGCCACAGGCGTAATCTTTTGCCTCTGCTGTTGTTGTTGATAGTATAGTGTAATTTCTGAATCACTGCAGGTCGCTGGCATAGAGCTGGCACTCCGCCTTTGGCTTGTGTGTCGAGCATGTTCATCTCACTTTTAGTGGGAAACTCTGGCTTTGTTCTTTCATACTATGGACTTATGGTCTTACATTCATCTAAAAAGGCAGGATTCTTGCTTGCATCAGTAGCTTCGAAGGAGGTCACCTCGACCAGCGATGATTCTTTTTGGCTACTGTGGACCCACAGAGCACCGTTCCTTTGCTTACTCTGCTCCGTCTATTAGACCGTCTGGGTTGCACGTTTTCTTTATACTGATCAGCTGCGTGTATCAGTGAAGAGAACTAATTAGGGTCAAAACAAACGGCAAAGTATTGTATTAAAAGGTTAACACCCCCCTTTTCCCCAGTGAAGATGTGCAACATAACTGTACATAGTTCGTGATTTATTCCATCTATCTAGGATTAGGCAACCTGGATTTCCTCCAAGCGACTTTGCCTGACTTGTTTGCGAAGCAGAGAGCATCAAATCTAGCCCCGAAGATAGATCGGAAAGACGCCAGCGGAAGAGCGTGCAAAAGCGCCACCAGGATAGTGTGCCAGCTAATGAAGAGCGGTATCAGCACCTTTCAAAAGTGCAGAGAGAATGGATCCGTAGGGAACAAATGAAATATTCATTTCACACTCAAAATCGACAAGCGAGTTTCAGCGATGTGGGACAGGTGTTGCAACCAAGTACCCTACTGCCAGCTTGCAAGGAGAGAGTTGTGGAGGAGTCCGTCGGGCAGTCCTTCTCTCCCTATCGCCTAGCTAGTATATACAACCTATCCATACGATATTGGGATGAGGGGTGCGCTTTCCTTGCAACACGGACATTGCAAGAAGCCCTGATGTTGGCGCAGCATCAAGGGCTATCTGGTGGCTGTATTGCTCATACGTGGGAAATAATGGAGGTTCTAGGAGGCCCCAGAAGAAAAAAGCTGCTAAGCTCTCCGACAACAGCTTCATGCTGTGAGGGAACTAAACGCAAACTAGATGTGAGAGGCAGATACCTGCGTTCAAGGCAATACTTTTCACGTCGCATGTTTGTTGCTGCAGGTGAGTCGGAGGGTAGAGTTTTGCGCACCATGTTTACAAAAGGTATTAGAGCTGCCTTGCTCATGTAGTAGTCTGCACACACATGGTAATATAAGTATACCAGATCTGGCTCCTGGTGTGCCTGCAGAGAGAGAACTTGAGGAGGTCAGAGGCCACCTCGGGTCTCTATTGTGTTATGCTAGCCTACGGGGATATAACCACGCAGAAGACGGACGCCGACGCTGCGCCAAAATCAAGTGCGCCTCCAAAGTAGTCATCACTACTGCAAGACAGTCACAGCTTAGCGCACACAACTCTTGCCTGCTGTGTTAAATGCAGTAGTCCATTCCCACCTCCTTCATATATTATGGTTCAAGCACAATTCAATATTGAACAACCAAAGAAGCCATATTACGATGCTTTTGACTTTGTGCAATTTGCACTGGCACTGCTGTAGGGAGGCGCTGGATCGAGTAGAAGATGACCTGCTACTGCTGCAAGAGCTGCAGGCCCGGTATAGCAGGCCGAAGCACTTAAAATGGGGTGAAAACATGCATCCTCAGGATCTGCACCGTCTTGTGAACCTTAGTCTAATGCCATGCATGAGACAGCGAATACAACTTCAGAAAGAAGTACCCAACGCAGGCTCCACATCCGGAGAAGCATGCGAACAATGGGTACGCACCTTTCAACAGGCACTCCAAGGGTATATTAGGGCTAACCAGAATGCCATTTAGTTATAGAATCCAAAGGATAGGTTTGAATGCTTACAATGGTTATTGAATGCATTCAAAAGAAAGCGGCCCCAATGGTTCTGGGGATGCAACTTTAATAGGGCGAAAGGAGTCAAATGAAGGTCACTTTGTTTCTTACAGGCTGCATCTCAGTTGCCACAGTGAGCATTTATAGAGGCGTAAATAGTAGCTGGTAAGCCCAAAGTTTCCGTTTTTCAAGATAATCATGTAGTAGGGTATGGCTGCACTGATTACGCAATGTGCATTGTAGACAGCAGGCAGTGATATGCCACGCCGCCCCAGTAACAACCCCGCCACACACGCCCATCATAGCACACAGCTTCAAGAATAATCTTAGTGTGCATCGGATAGCTAGGTCCTGCAGAATTTGGTGGCAGGATCTGTCGTCGAAATGCATATCCGTCGAATGTTAACACTGTTTGAAACGCTGCCTGTGGGCATTTCCTATTTCTTCTCGCTACAATTAAATTTTCCCGTATGACATTTCCTCATCGTAATATGGTCCGGAGAGAAGTTCATGTGTGACCACGCTGGTGTTCTTGTGATGGCCAATCCATACACAGGCGTAGCAGAGTCGGCATCTCTTAGTATGATACTCCGTATTGAATAAACCAACAGCAGCTAGAGGTATACAAGAAGAATTTATGCAGAATGATAGAGCTTCAGGATATATAGCCTGCAGCTTGAGGCAAAGCAGGGATAGCGATGCTGCTTGGTCGCAGAAAAGGGGGTATCCCGACCGGTTTCCCGATTTTATCAGACATTCTTATATAAAATATGTTTGACGGGACTCCCAAGCACCGGCAAGCTGGAGGGCCTCTTCTGCACAGGAGTAGGGCCACTTGTTCATTGATGAGGTTTCTAGGTACGCCTCTTCACACTTGAAAGAATTCGCTTCTGATGCGCCGTTGCTTTCGAAGGCGAGTCAATGCTCGCAATGGCCCCTCAGTAGCCTAAAACGAAGGTGGCCCCACGAAAACGGAGAAGCGCCGCAAACAAGCAATACAAATAGATCCGCGCATGAATGTTGTTAATATGACACGCTTGTGTAGGGCAGGGAAAACAGAGAAAGGGAAAGCTATGGAACAGCAAGTCGCTGCGATACCTACCCTAGGGTCATCTTTCTGGGGTACACCGTCGCATTTCGTAGGCAGATCAGCTGGGGAGAGTAATGATGCAGCATATCTCTGCAGGAACCAAAGACGACAAAGAGCTATGGATACTGTAATTCTGTTCAGCTTGCACTAAACGCAAACTCAGTATGAAGCTTTGCCGTTGAGCCCTTAGCCGTGATCGTATCATTTATCTTTTGCTTTCTTCATGTGCCTTGCAAGTGCACCGTGCGGCGTTGTATTTCTGCCTTTTGAAGAAGGCCTATAAAGAGCGCTGATTCCTACAAGCTAAAGCAATCCGACCATCTTATAAATACTATGTCATAAAATCCTCCTCCCTTTTGAATTTTTTGGTATTTCAAGTGTCATTGCTTCCTTTAAAACATAATGCTACAAATGAACACCCAGCTACTGCGGCGTCGGATGTTTTTTTTTCACTTTGCTTTCTAGGTATGTTTTTCTGCATGGAACACTTGCTTCGAGATCCTAGCCCTTGTATCGATCTAATCTTACGGCTTTACCTGCAGTCGCTTTACAGTCCTACGTCGGAAGGCCTCTAGTTCAGGTAGAGTTTTCTCCTGCAGAGACCAACAAAACTCGTTCAATGGAAGGAACTGTTTGGCAAAGAGAGTGGGCATCTGAATTGAAGAATTGCACGGCAAACGTAATGAGGCACTAGTGGATAAACACTGCAAAGGACCTTCAGGATGCTTGCCCAGTGGAATATGCTAGAAGGGACATGAGAGGAGACCGATGAAAAAGCTAAGTTGAAGCTCCTTGAAGGCAGTAAAAGTCATAGGGATATCTTAGGAAGACTATGGGGGCATGATCGTATCTTCCTCCGCCTTTATACCCGCGCTGGCGTGTCCTTGCCTTTGCTTCCATGGAATGGCGAAGGCTCTCCTCTGCGTGCATCCGTATTTTACGTTCTATCTCGCGCTGCTGCTGCACCAGTCGATTCTGCAAAGCTCTTCGATGCTGCGTGCAGTATTGCCTCTGTACTTCGGCTTCAAGCATCATCTGCTTTTGCATTAGCAGCTCTTCCTGCCGCTTCTCCTCTTGCTTCAAACTCTTCTCTCTGATCCTCTGTAGGGTGCGTTTTCTGAGCTGCTGCGCCAGCACTCGACTTCGTTGTTGCTGCTGCTGTTGTTGCAACTGATTATGCAGCAGCTGTTGCTGCTGCTTTTGCCTGGCTCCTCGTGCCCGTTCTCTAACTCGGTTCAACGCCTCCTGCCGAAGGGTACTTAGTTTTTGATCATCAAGGGACACCATCATACCCCCTTCCCACTTCCATATTCCTCTCGTATAGCTGCGTCTATTGTGAGCTGTACAATCTGCGCCAGCTGGTCGCCCGTGCAGCCTCCGCCAACTAAATGTTGTCGCCCCATTGTTGTAGCTGCGGTGCTTTAGCCGTAAAAGTAAAGCCTCGACCTCCATCGGAATGCAGTATTCCAACTGATGATTTCTTGAGCATGCTCTGGTGTCCAAAAACGCGTTTAAATGGGATTTATGAGGGGTAGCCCTCAAACACTCGCTACTCTGGCTCCTCTGCGCCCCATGCCCAGCATGGTTTCGTGGGGTGGACGGAGGGAGGTCAGCGAGCCTGCCTTCAGAGATTGCTGCTGCACCCAGCGCCCCATCAGTATTGAATTTAGAGGTTATCCTCTCGTCTGTAGTAGCATTAGTGGCAAGATTCCTTTCCCTTTCTGGTTCGCGGGGGAAGGAAGGTGATCCGACAGGCAAAGAATGTGTACGCAACACAGCGGTAGGGCACCCTGGGGTACAAAGTGTTTTATCATGCCAAGATCGGACATTCTGGTGGCAACCTTTTGTGTTGGTCCTATGCCCAGATGTAAATGTGTTTTGCGGGGTATGAAATTCTTTACTTGAGACTCCCCTGGAACTCTTGACGCATAATGAAGCCACAGCACAAGTAGACCCTACAAGGCCTTTATTGTGCTGGAAGCCTTCAGAGAAAGACAGCGGGCTCGAAGCAAAGAGATTCAGGGGCTCATCAGATGGTAACAGCTGGGATCGGAGGGAATCATAACTTTGCCTTAAGTGTACGGCTTCACGGGGTGGGGTCAGGTCGGGCCAGGGCCCAGATAAGCTGCGGAAGTTGCTCATCGTTCTGACATTTAGTCGGGTGGTTGGCCCCTTCAAGGCTTAGATCATCAGAAAAGAGCAAAGAATTCTATGATAATCAAGGCATGGAAGGCGGAGGCAAGGATACATGGGGGCTCTGCAGTGGTTACAACGCTATAAAGCCAAAAATAGGGAGGAATATATGGCAGAGAAGAGGTATTTCATCAAAATAACTTAATATTTAAGGCTAAATGAGATTAGCCGGGCAATGACCTAGCCTTGAGGGACGAGGGTCACAGGAGGGTCACCAAAAATGGAAGCCTTCCCATCAGTGAGGGTATTACCCAGCATTTCCAAGTTTCTTTTTCGTTTTCTAGCAAATTACAAGAGCAATTAAAGCTGTAGCCATGTAGTCTGCCTTAGTTTAGAATTTTTTAGTAGGAAAGGGAGAAAATATACTTTGAAGCGCTCGACCCGGACGCCTCCTGCGCCATAGGTAACCTTGGTTCGGCTCCCACAGACGACATGCAATAGGGCTAGCCCTCTCAAAATAAAGATTAAAGAAGTGGCTAAAGTAACTTCTAAACGGTATTATCCCAGAAAACGGAGGAGTGAAGCCTTTCTGGCCAGAACTACGTGTTGGTGTGGTGTCCATGGCATCCCGTTGCAGCCTCATTTGGCGAGAGGCAAAACCGTCAAAGAAAGAGGAATCGTTCCCGTGCAAAGCACTCTAAGAAAAGGCTGCATGTTACGGCATCTCTGCATAAAGGAACAAAACTTCGCTGGGCACCTGTGGAGTTCGATGCACTAAATAGTCTCCATTCCTTGTCATTCGTGAGAAGTGGCAAGCAGGAGCTAGCAGAGGTCTACCATGGAGGCCTCTAGTCTTGAGTCTGGACTCAGGCATTTGAGTAGTGCTGGGAACACCCTAAACGTATACGAGCTGACTTCGCTTCAGGTAGCCCTCTTCACGCTGCAAGAAAAAGAGGGAAAGGGGAAGGCATTCTTCTGGGGGAGGATCAACGGCGGTATCGATGACTACTACATTGCATATATGCTCGAGGATAGTGATTATATATTTCCCAAGAAGAAGATGTTTTGGAGGTAGGATAAACCTTTCTCCCAAACCAAAGAGTCCTTACCACCCACTTTTCTAAAGCTAAAAATACCCTTTGAATGAAAGCATGCAGTTGATGCACCCCTCCTTATTCTGCTAATTGGAGTCTGGATATGTTTACTTATTAAAAAGCATTGTCGCTGTATTCCGCCTTCAGCACTGGCCGCTTTGAATTCCGACCATTGCCGGAATGCAACGTACCGGGATTGGACAAAAGCGGAAAAAATGTTTTGCTTCTGGGCGACCCTTCCCGAAAAATTCCATATCTTGGTGACTCTCCAAAATAACACAAAATAGTATGTTTGACGACTCTAAGCTGGAATACAGCGCACTGGTGACAGGTACAAATGCCATTATAAAACTGCTTTATGTACGTCAAACGCAGAGGAGAGTAAACGACTTTTCCGTTCTCCTCAAAGCGATGAAGAAGAGGGAGGCGGCAAGTTCCACAACGGAGGAAGGATTGTGTAGCAAGGAGCCAATTACCTGCATGTGACTTTCCCATGCGTATATTTGCATTGAAAACAGGATGCCGCAGTGCCTTGTATGAACATACGGTGTCTGTAAGCAGATGAAGACAAAGAACAAGATATAGCTGAGACCCTTTACCTATCCAGTTTGGTGAAACGCATCGACTTCGCTACTGCAGCGGTCCCTCGAGGAGCCCATCGCCTTCATGGCAGCAAAGTCATCCCAGCCCCTGAATTCAAGGGTACACATTCCTGCAGGAGGTTTGCAGCTTATATTGCTGCTGCCACACTTGTCACGACTCGCCTTTGGCTGGGAGGTTGAGGACCAAAGAACGCCTACTAGGACTGCAGGAAACATATGCTTCTGTGACCTGTAGTGTTTTTTTTGGCAGGCTATAGTCTGTATTATTGGACGATTTAGTGGAAAATATGTTTCTGGCATGGCGCAGGACTCACCTTTGAAGAAGCAGAGAACTTGTCTTCTTGGGTCCACTTTAGACCTGCTGAGGATCGTAGGCAGCATCCTACAAAAATAAGTTGCGCCTGTAGCTTAGCAAAAATACGAACTGTTACGATGCATGCTCAATGAAAAAGCACTAATGCCTAAATGCGCGTCATTGACTCTCCAGACCTGAGCTTTTCTGTGCAGTTGAGGCGCTGAGAGCACAAATATCCAAAGACTACCAGGTAAGCATCCAGAAGTCCACCTGTACTGGAAGCCTGCAAATCTTTGAAGACAAATAAGTTGTGATATACGGGAATCCAGCAACCAACTGACTCCTAAGCATCGATGCTGGTGTTTTCTTTCACAGTTCACTACAGAGTTCTTACAATCTTTGCAAGCAGATGTGCCCAGAGGTTAGCGGCTTTTACGTTTGACCGTTACGTTCTAAAATGTCAATATCATGTTATATGATTTAAGATGGATTAAGACCGAGAATACTGAGTTTCTCTGGTGAAGAACATGCACTTCAATGGCGCCTCCATAATACACAAAACCGCTGTTCTTTGGTGGAGCATGGACGGTTGTTGATACAAGCCTTCGAACGGAAGCATCCACAAGGCTTCATTGTGTCGTTGTGCAGGTTCTTGGGCCACGCGGTTCGACCCAGTTAGCAACTGCGTTACTGTGAGAAGCCTACTGTGGCCCGGTACGTAAAAAGAAGCCAGGCCGATCTCATAGGGATTCGTTACCTGATTTCAACTGCCTAGTGGGGACTTAGCCTCGTAAAGGGCTAGATGTGTGTCCGTTTCGTTGTGGTATGTTAGGATATATAGCATATAGCATTGTAAATACCAAGGAATTTGGAGGTGTATATTTCGGCGGAGGAGAGGAGGCTGCAGAATTACCATTTTTGCTGTAGCCACGAATCTATTTAGAGGATCAGGCTTCAACGTCTACTCCAATTGTATACCTTAGCCAAACAGCGAGTTAACGTGTCGCCAACTATCTGTTTGCCAGAATGCCTTCTTGAGAAACTAAGGAGAATAATAGCTTATAATAGTTGTATCTTCAACTGTATTTTCGTCGAGATCAGATTGTACATGCAAAGGGAGCCTGTATTTACCACTTCAAGACTCCCTAGGAAGGTGGTCTCGTCAGTGTAAAAGCCTAGTGAATGCACTACTTTGATGAATTACGCTATTAGAAGGCTCATTCCTGAGAGTGTTGATAGGGCTTTACGGGCAAAGGAGTAGAACGGTGCTTGAGGTAGTGGAAAAAAGAGTCCATCGTCTTTCATCCACCGCGTCATAATACGGTGGCTGCTGGGATCACAAGTGCAATTGCTAGGAGAGAGTATGCTATCAGCTGCGGACTTACAGCCCTTAATTTGTGGCTCCTTACTGTAGTACTTACCTTGTACTGTCATTCAAGCTAGTGATCCGGGAGCTACACAGAATATACATCTACCAGCCTGGGTTTTTATTTGAACGGATGGATACTGGTGGGGTCTCCGCTGGGCCCAGCGTAATTCGGACTCTTCCAGGCAGATCCATCCTGGACCTATCCCGTGCACGTTCATTAGGTGGTTCTTTGTGGAAGAATTTTCCATGTAAAAGCAATTGGTGGAAGAGAGTCTGAGGTCATGCGACATACGCGAGAGCCGGTTGCATCCCTTTTATTTGATCAGACTCTACTGAGGTAAAAGCTGTCATATGATGCTTCCTGTAGCAGGGACGAGAGCCTCCCTAGGCCACCGCAACGGAGTCCACTGCCTCTGCGTAGGCTGCCCATAGTCGTTGAGCAGTACCCCGAGTACTAATTATATCCCTCGCTACTGTTGCAAGCGCGAACTGACAGCAGAGGAAGCACCCATTATTGGCGATGAGGGCAGCGCGCTACTGACTAAATACACAGTCTTAAAATAGCCCTAATAAACTTGCTGAAGCCGGCTTATTCAATATAGCCATGTCTACACCTTGCAGTGTTCTGAGGGCTGGATGAACGTAAGGACGGCATTTCGAACTTAGCAGGCACAGAGCGATATTCTTCAGCACATAAGTGTTGACACGAATAACCGATTACAATTTAACGCTCTAGGACGCTCCGCGATACGCTCTGGGGCGCTTTTGCAGGCCGGTTGGCTTTTTCCTCATGCAGTATTGCACTGCGTTCAATTCTACGGGCAGATCAGTTCCATCTCTGCAGACTCATCACATGCCTGCCAATATTCCTAATGTAGATAAACGGAGCTGCAACATTGTTGGTAAAGGCGTTAATAACATACTACCCAAGCCTATGGACATCAGCAAAAGAAAAGGATACATCATCCGTGCTGGCCCCTGGGATGTATGAGACACATCAGGATGTAGCAAGCACATGAAAACCGGACCACTACTAAGCAGGGAGCATCTTACCCGGAGATACGGCAATACTGGGCAACGGAACAAATGATGACACATCTGTGGTTGCCATGCACTCTGCAACAGCGTTGAAGAGGTTAGATTCCGAATTTTGCATTGCCTCATCCAGATCTGCGCACAAGACGAGCAGCTGCATGTTTGCATATCATGTATACACAATATGCAAACCTAGGTGGTTGCACCGGTGCAGCCGTTGAGATGTGAGCCTGTAGCTAACTATGCAGATTGACAATACATATACACACGTAATCAGGCCATTGTACCTACTTGCGCATGCCTGCTATTAATATGTTAAGGCTTATTCGAAGTAAGATATTTGCGAAATTATATGTCAACATAATTCAATGCAGAACAATACCTGTATGGATAAAGAAACGTGTGTAAGGCAGGTGACAATAGTAGTAAGCAGGGTGCCCCATTCGAAATGCATTTAGACAACGCTCGCAAGGCTTCCGCTTTTTCTGTGCTTAGTCGGTATCAAGTGAATAGTCATTATATAGGCTCTGGTTTGTCCAATCATATTTGAGGCTTCGCCTGCACGAGGGGGAAGAGCATATCCATCTTACTTTCCGCGGCTTCCTCTGTACTAATGTGAGGCTCCAGGAGCACTGAGAACTTCCAAAGCCCATGAATTGTGTCATTTTCGACAAAGCGCGAATATTCCGGCGCCGAAATGGAGAGCATCTGATCATCGAAGACCACATTACCCATACTTGCTACGCTTCTCAGCCATCCCAATCATTAGCACATGGTGGAAAAGGCAAGTCATGCTGCTGCTAGTGCGTGGAAGTGTTTGAAGTACATATGAAGAGATGTGTCAAGTCAGTGGCTACTGACATTACGGAGTTCGCCTCGAACGGCATCGGCACAAATGCTTAAACGATTCTCAGCATCTTCCTGACTTCCCAAATTCAATCCAGCAGGCAGATTGAACGAGTACAGCCCTATTTCCACATCAGCAACACACGTTTACTGTCTTCATCATGATATTTTGCTTACCCATTCACTTACGTAGCCAACCTTGAATATGCTCCATCGGAGAGCCGTACAGTCAAGGAGCGCAGAAAGTCCCTCTGTCCTAGTACTTTGAGGCTCTATGTACCCCAGGGCAGCATGAGCACTAACTCGTTTGGCCTGTGCAGCTTCTTTCTTCTTGCAACGTCGGGCATGATGCATGAGTAGAAAGTTCATTTATATTCTGCGAAAGCAATAAATTAATGTGAAACTACTTACTTGTACTTTCTTAAGAAGGCAAAGTAGATACAGGAAACGTCTTTCACGGGTTGAATGCAGCACTACATTTTGGACACACTTCTGTACCGATCAAAACATATTTTTTTTGGATTGGCTACTGCATTCAACTCTCTCAATTAAATGCAGCTTTTACTGCAGTATGTTGTTAGATCCCTTGCACATATAGAAGGAACGCGAGCCTACGAGAACTGTTCTCGTTCTTGAAGACCGCAGTGTAGTGCAACGTTGATCGCAAACGGTCCATTCTGACCATTCAGATACTTTGCAGCTGCAGGCTGAGTGGGCAAGGACACGTCTGAAAATAGCTAATTAGCCATATAATCACTGCTCAAATGAAAGAGTAGCGATTAAATGTTGAGCTAGATGGGAACTGTGCCTGCTGTCTTCAATGAGATGGAGCATATGCTTACTACTTGGTGCATCGGGCCCCAGTAGAATGCACATATCCACAGGCTCTGTAATGGTCTCGACTGCGCCAATACCGAAGATATATCCCCACAACTTTACTACTTAATTCGCCATATCAATGCGTTGCTTTACGGGGGCTTATTGCAGATTTCCGTCAACAGATAAGCAGCAGTACTTCGAAAAACGTGGATTCAGCTGCTTACATGTTGCGTTGTAGGCATTTACACGGAAAGGCGTATTGCCTTCCACACCGGGAAGAATGATATCTAGAGCTGCGTAGGCGGGGAGAGACGTGCTGCTGAATAGTTCAGTCAGTACTGTAGACAGAGTAAGCAGTCAAGAATGCGGGACGGCAGGCAGTGGAGCCAATACCACGGCCCAGATTATTACGACCAAATCGCCAAGTGAGGTCAGAGCTGCTGCTACCAGATTGCACTCAGAAACCAGGTGGCAGATGCAGATTTTATGCGTTGCTATACGTGCAATAGTGCGTTGAGGGTCTTGGCCAAGATCCGCATCGGGGTTTGAGTTCGCAAGGCTCTTGTCTACAAGGAAAACGAATTGGACGCGCCAATACTTTGTCCCTGTTGTTGAATCCAGGCCAAGACCAGAAAGCGTAATGCGGTTTTCGCTAATGCGTAGAGCCTGGAACATAAAGCTCAATAACTACTGGAAAGCGTGGAAATTGTTCCTCGTATTTCTGCACAATTAAAGCTGCCTGTTCTTATAGGCTAAATTCTCATTTTGTTTTTAAGGAGACTGGAAGTACCTCAATGTGTGGAATCTAGGGCGCTGACTAGAATAGGGCAGCATGAATCTACTGCAGCTGCAGGTTATCATTCATTACTTGCCTCACTAATCGCGCTTCGGATTGTGAAACTCTGAGAGATAAGTACTTCTTTACTCAAGCTCGTTGTGTGAGTGGAAGCTTCTCTGGTTAACACGAAAGTCATACACGCGCCATTGCAGGTGCGTTTTTCATGAGTTGATGGACAGCTTGAAACTTCTCCTGGAGCAGCCTGTATTTGGCAGCGCAGTGATGTCGGGGGGGCCGGGGGGCTATGCAAAGACGTTGTATACATGCAGTACATGGCATTCTCGTAGCCTAGAGGAAACTTTGTTACGGTGAGTTTGGTTACATAGACCGCTGGATGATACATACTTTTTATGTCGATGTTACCTTTATTGCTCTTGTCCTTATCTGCTCGCTCTTTCCGCAGGCGGTGGGACAAACGGTCCACTCGCCCCATTCTGCTGTCTCACACACGGCAATGTGCGTATCAGGACTTTCCTCTGGGCTTTTGCCGGCTAGGATGGCGAAGGTACCGAGGCATAGGAACGCTACGGCCATCGCCAATGCAAACGTGCCCACCCATATTAGCAGCACTGCAGCAGCAAAGCCCCATCGTATGCATAGAGCAGTTGTGAGGGGACTCGTGTATAGCAGCCATCTAAGGGGACTACGTCCTCTGCGGTGAGACATGCATCAACATGACCATCGATAAATAAATAATGCCGTCTGTCTCCCCGATTTGGCTCTCGTTGCAGCCCTTACATTTGTCTCGCCGTCGGTCTTCGAGAGCTTCATCTTGGAAGTCCTGCTGCGTTTCAGAGGGCTGCTTCGATGAATCCCACGAAGTTATACTTGGATTGCCGCTGTCTCCACTATAGGCATTTAGCTGAAGTTTGGGTCTCTCATTAGACTCCTCAGCAAAACCCATTTCGTAACTCCCATGCTTAGAAATGGTTGAGTTGTGCGAAGTAGAGCTTATGTGTGCAGCACTAAGCCTTCGAATAGCATCAACACTGCCAGCCGTTTGCACGTGTTGTGTGCCATCGACTCCATGGCTGCCAACAAATATCATAGTAGAGCTGGATCCGCTGCCCTGGTCAAAAATCCCAGTACCTGTCGTTCCATCAAATGGCTTGAAGAGTTCCCCACGCCCCTGTTTGGACTGATCCTTGCCTTCGAGTTTTCGCAACGACAGTGCTACACCAGAACTGAGTTCCACAGAACCTTGCTGAACTCGGTTGTCGCCCCATGCGAGATCATTCTGTGGCTCCCAGCGCGCTTCAGCTGCATCAGCATCATCAAAAGCCTCCGATTCACCTCCAAGGTCAGCCACAGACTTCTTATTAGACAAAATGTCAGACCTCAATAAATCATCGACATTTTTATCAGTACTCATGCTGGAGTCTCCCTCAAGACCTGTAGGAGACTTCACGTCCCTAAGAAGCTCTGAAGCCATTAGATGAGATCCTCGACGCAGTGAGCTACACTGATGGACTTCTGCAAGGGGATCTTCATATCGCTGATCCAGTTGATAAGGTTCAACATTGTCAACAGGTTGTTGGGTGGTTCCAGGCTGTGATGTGCAATCTTTGTCACATTTAAAACCAATTGTATTGCGCCTCTCCACTCTCTGAGAAATCTCTCTGTTCGATGTTATTTGGATATGCTCATGGCTGCGCCGGCTGGTGTCACTGATTTCTTTCCATGTCACACACTCTTGTAGACTTGCCTTTCGAGAAGGATGATGTAAAGGATGGCCGTTAGTATTGTTACTGTCTCTATTGAGATCAGTCTGAGGTAACTCGCCTTCCTGAGACGTTCAAGTGCCACGCAAACGCAGAGCTATTCTGCAGTTAGTAACATCAATACTACCACCCGATCGATTAACACTATCTGGTGTGTTTGAAGAATCTGATGCCTGTGCATCTATGGGTTCTTCGAGTGCCATCAGCGCAGGTGTGTCTCTTACAGCCACTTCCATTGTACTGTGCACCGTTCGAGTTTTGGGGGACGGGGGGGAGGGGAGCACAGCTAGTTCAAGTACGCTATGCCCATTTGGCTGCTATCTTCGTATATATTCACTTTCATTGGTTTTTTTTCTCGAAAAGGCTTCTGGTGTGCTACAAGAAAGAAAATTTTGCATCACTGAGGCTAAACGTGACCAAGCTACTGCGCAGAAAATGTATTTCCCCTAGTTTTTAGGAAGCTGCGAGCTCAACAGGTAACGTTAAATCAGCAGAATGACAGAGACATCTTCGCAGTGATAAAAGCTGAGAATGCATGTCAATTTGTCACCCGGGCACACCGTTGACGCCGCCAAGATGCTTTAGGGGGTGCAAAACACATCAAACGTAGTATTATTTTTAAAGTTACTCAGCTTAAAAGAGACCTGTAGAATGTATCTGTTGCAAAAGATACCTGCGTGGAAATGCTGGCCAACGGTGTGTGCCTTGGAAAGCACGTGGCCAGAATGCTGGTGAAGCGAGGCAGCAGAAACCCGCCTTGAGGAAGGGATATATCGATTACAAGCAATAGCCTTCGAGGAAGATGGCACAAGTAAATTTTATGATTACAGCCTCGGGGAAAAGTCAATCTAGTCAACTTGAAGGAAACCTCGTTCATAACGAAACTTTGCGCAGTGCATGCAACAGTGGGGGCCCCCTGTCAGTCAGGGGAGGTCAAATGGTCAAAAACCGTGCTTTCTATAAAACGCAGTCCCAATTTTAATCAGGCACTATTGTAATGAAAGTAGTAAGAAACATAATTTCAGTGCAATCGTTAATGTACATCTTATCGAGTGCACACTGTGTGCAAAATTGATAGAATTATGGATATTTTCCTTTTCTGTAACTAAAATTGCCGTGGCTCTCATATAGAATGCCGCCAACAACTACATCTCTAATATAAAGCAATCAAATTTACTCCCTATCATGCACTAGGGATTCTCCGAAGTGCGTGAAATCGTCAACGCGACAATACCACCACCTTGGTAGCCGAGCGTGCGTGATCAGTATTCCCATAGAATAGGTACTACCAGTGTGGTTACTGTGACAAGATCACAGTAATAGCCTGTACATCGTGACTTTGCGCAAAAGACATTATTTAAGAGGAAATTTGAAGGAAATGGTTCCCGTTATAGAATCTCCGTTGTGATTATTTGAACCTAGCCGCATGGGGGAGTGGAGGCTGCGACTTTCTGTAAGATTCTCCCTTCCACTATTGCAGTGAGAAGACTAAAAATAAAAGCTACTCTCTTGACGATATTTTGCATCGGCCATTGTGTTCTTTGCCCTTTATAAGAAGGATTAACCTCTGCTTTTCCAGTTTTCGCTGAACCCGTCGGGAAGGTGAGCAAAATTTTAGGCCCGTGCGTGATCCTTGGAAACATGCTGGGCATGATGCCTTCAAACGCCGCTTGCCCACTGGGATCTGTATTGTTTGGGTGATTTCCATCAACCTCCCTTCGAGAACAAGCATGCGAAAAGCTTTTCCGCCAACGGATACCACCTGAAGTTTTTCTTTCAGAGATGAAGTAAGGCATATTCTTTCAAAGTATAGCCAATCGATGTATCAGTGCATCCTTATTGCTCATTTTGTCACAGGGTCTAAGTGAGGTTTTTGTTTAACTTCTAGGCAGCAGATCCTCTAGCAGACTAGGTTCGCTTTAGCACCCTCTGGTTAACCGGTTATTTGATTTAAGAATAAGTCAAGACTTGATTACCTGGATTGACCATCCATCTGCACATCTTATTTATTGCAGAGGAGTGTATTCGATAAAAGGGACGCAATGTGGAGTCTGTGCGATAGATGCTATATGCTACTAGCTAAAGTGCCTCGTGGGTACAGCTACGCGCATCCTAGTTTCGGCTCTCCTCTCATGCTAGAACTCTGGGAGTCTCGGGCAGTGGGAAGCGTCATTTCTTTTAAAAAAATACTCAATAACTACTACTAACCTTATATTAGATCTGGAGTTAAGTGTCTACCTAAAGAGACCTTGGACAAAGCGTTACCAGTGGGTGCACCGCGAGGGTACAGTTGTTCCCCGCCCTTCTAGCGGCTGTACATGTAGTGGGATATCAGGCTTTCATAGAGCCGCTCTGCCGTTTTGCTTTATTCATTTGATGAATTGCTACCTTGATTTTCTTTGCACCAGTCTGGCGAAGGAAGTTGACTGGGCACAACGCCTGTTGGGGCGGCCGAGTAGCTCCACAGCTAGTAGAAAGGTATGTTTTGACAGCCGAAAAAACGCTAGTAGAAGTTAATGAGGTATTCGAATCACAAAAAATTGACGGAGGTAAAGATGGGCACATACTTGAAGCCTTCATGAGCCGGTTGGAGATGCACATCGCTCTGAATTCCACAGGGAAAGAGGGGCAATTGTTGCTTGCAGCATGTCTTTTTAAAGGACAAGCACTTCAACAATGACTTTTGTATGCTTAGGATGTTGCCTGCCTGCATAGACCTTTGCTGTTCACACTGTCCTACAAGCTGCGACCCACTGGTTTATGCCGCGGTCAACTCGAAAGTAACCTTTCTGAGAATTAAGAGAGCTAAAGCAGTAAAACCTATCAGTAAGTCTGTTTAATAGTACAATATGAAATTTTTTTTGCATGCGCCACAACGTCGATAAACAGCTTTATGCGTAGCTAAAATTAGGATTACCCCAAGTGTCACGTTAGGTAGTCAGAGGATGGGCAGATACACAACAGCCGACCGGTAGGGCTTCCACAAAGGATGAAATGCTTGAGGTGTGAGGAGCACATGGCATAAGTGCTACATTTTTGGCTGAAATGGAAAAGCCACATCGGTATCTACCACTTATGGACATCGGGATTGTTATACCCCTTCTAGCCTAAAGTCTAAGGGGAGCAAGAACAGAAAATAAGGAGCAATATGCACTACTCTGCACCTCCACACATCCTTTCCACAAACGTCCTGCTGCTATAGCGGTAAGATGCGGAAGCTTCACGTTTCCTGACGAATGGAAGATTGCAACGATTTGTAAAGCTGTGGTTGCTACATGCCCGTTCAGATCAAAATTGGATACACTAAAGGTGGTTTGTGTTGAATCATATTGTAATTCTGAGGATGCCAAAGATGATCCGACGATAGGCGCCCATGCATCCACAGCTGCGCGCTGTGGAGGTCAGTATGCTAGGAAGCACTAGGAAGGCAAGCATCTTGGTGTTTTCAGCAATGATCATTTCATCAATGTTGAGCAGGGTAGAGTCAGTGCCTCAACAAGGTTAGGCAGGGTTTACATGCGGGTATTTCAGCAGTGCAGTGAGAGAAGACAATTGTGAAATTGCACCCCGTCTTAATCTGGAGCTGGATATTTAGTAGGGAATTCAAATGAACGTTCGTCCGAAGAACAACAGGAATGGGCAAATTTCAGACAGGAGGTTGCGGCAAGTGAATGGATTTTTGAAAATAGCAAAGTGCACGAATCGACCAACGATTTGGGCGAAACCCAGCGTTGGCACCATAAAATGACGGAAGCTGGCACAAGGGGATGGAGCGGTAGACAGGTAATTTGTTGGAAAGGCAAAGCCCAGGGGGTGCCCAGCGCCTTTAAGCAGAATCCGGCGTTGGTACCGAAAAAGAACGGAAGGTGGCGGTTGTACCAAATTTTAAGCTCCTAAACACGATAGTGAAACAAGAGTTCTCATTGCCTCAGACAGACTAATTACTTGACACACTACACGGATCAAGAGTCTGTTCAAAATGTGACTTGACAAACACGTTACAGCCCCCCGTTCACCCACATCACATGCACAAAAATGACTTCACACTAACACTTGCAAACTCGATTGTACTTATATTCCGCGTGGTCTTACCAGTGCCCCAGCTCAGGTGCAGCAAAAAGTTAATCGGGGCTTACATGATGTCAAGAGGGTTGGATGACTGTTTACTTGGATCATGTCTTAGTCTTTAGCCGAAACGTTAAATGGCACGTACAGAGTCTAGGACGTGCGCTTCAGGTGGTGAGATACAAGCAATAGTATGTGCAGGCATCCCAAGTAGTCAGATTTCGTTAAAATCTTTGCGCTTTGGGAATTAGGCGTTCAGTTTGCAGAAGTTGAACTAGATCCTTGAAAAAATGAAGCAGTCCAGAAGTGCCTTGTGTCTGTATGCAGCAGCAGGGACGCCGCAAAGTTCTACGGGCTTGCACCATATGACCAGAGTCCCATTCTTCAATGCGCTGAGCCCGATGCCCATCTCGCTGACCTACCAAACTCAACCGCGTTCTATGACGTGAGCAGGGGAGGAGGACGCCGCCGAAAATACACTTATTAGCCTCCTCACAACTTTTCCGCTACTTGCGCTGCTCGGTTGTGAGCTTCATTTTTTCCCTGACAACCAACGCTAGTGACGTAGCACTGGGTGCAATTCTCCTCCAACAGGCTACGGGCTCTTTGAAACACGGAACCGCCGCTTCTCACTATCGTCGCTCCATAAAAAATGAGCAGCGGTAACTAGTGCGGGCAAAGTAACTCGAAGCGCTGTGGTGGGGAGTGAATGGCGCCGGCACTTTTCATGTGGGTGTCATTCTACTGTACAAATCGACTATCAGGCTTTATTGCACCTCATAAAGAACCTTCAAGGCTCCAGCAACCCTACAGTCGTTCGCTGGCATCAATGTATCCTAAAGTGCGACTTTGCAGCAAAACATATGAAGAGCATCACCAACTTGGTAGCTGATGCGCTATCGCAACGCCGCCGCCTCTCACTGTTGTGCAGCGCAGGCGATCTTGTTTATGATAATTTGCAGCATCTCTCACAGTTGCCTGCAATTTGTGCCTTGACACCCATGGACCCACTACTGTTGCCAAAATCCAAATTGGTCAAAGGGTACAGGACTACCACGTTGATGATGCTATGGTGTGGCTCAAAACATAGCACGGACGCCAGGGCCTCTGTAGTCCGGCTTGACTCTGCGGTGTTGGTTTCCCAAAAAGAGGCTCATGCTCTTTCGAACTA